ACCCCGCTGAGAGCCTGCACCCGCCGCGCCTCGGGCATCTCCTCCTCTCTCCTCTCCTCTCCTCTCCTCTCCGCCGCCAGCCCAGGTACCTGCTGGTCCGCAGCCCGCCCCCGCTCGGTGTCACCGGCATCGGGGGCTGGGGAGGGCCATCCGCACCGCGCCTTGCACGGGGAGGGGGGCTCCAGCAGCTGCCGAGCACAGGGGATGGATGGGCTTGGCTGAAGCTTTGGGGGGTTTTTGGTTGCGGTGTGGTGGGGAGATGGTGCTGACCTCCAGCAAAGGCAGCCTTCAGTTGAGAGGCAGTCTGCAGAAAGGCAGAGCTGGGGGAAGGGCAGTCGCCCCGGATCTGGGGTCCTCTTTGTGCTGCTCTTGAAATGTGATTTGATTTGATTTGTTTTTGCATAGGTTTATTATTGATTTTCCTGCACACCCCCCCCTTCGTTTTTCATCTTGCTGCTCCCAATCCAGCCCTAAGATTCGTGTGCCCTGACAAACAATAGGGAGGTGGTTTGCCCACGGATGTGTTAGATCTTTATGGTTTTTTTCCTTATGATATCCCGGAGATATACCCAGGCAATAACCCTTTCCAGCCTGCTCTGTTGCTCTCCTCTGCTGCTTTCTGTCAGGGAAGCAAGCACACTTGTAAAAGGGGAGTGGAAATGTAGGCAGCTCTGATTAATTTGGTGCTTTTCAAGTGTTGAGTAAGTAGATATCTTTCTAGTTTGTGTTTTTTTTTAAAGGTTCATTAGCAGGTTTCTTTAAAAACAAGCTCCCTTCTAGGGATGAGAGACAGGGCTTGTTCTTTTAGCAAGGACAGGGGAGAGATCTGTATGAGATGAAAAAAGGGTGGATCATATTTCTTCACTGGCCATAAAGAGACTCTCCAGGGGAGAAGGCAGAGGGGGGTGGGGAAGCAGTGCGATAGCTGGGTGGCATTTGGCACTTCATGGGGAAAATTAGTTACAGCAGCAAACCTGGAATGACATTTAAGGGCATGCAGTCGGATGGACAGTGAGTGCACTTGGAGGAAGTGGTGAGTGATAGGGGGCTGGAAGCAGAGGGGGAAGGAGGGTGATTTAGGCCTGCTATAGGTGAGAGACAAGTTGAGGGATCCTGGTTTGAGGAGGCCAGGTATCCCCAAATTGCAGCCACAATTAGGCTGCCTGCATGTCCATGAAATAAAGAAAATCCTGGGTCATGTTGGAAATGACTTTTCTGTCACCTCCTGACAGTCAAGGCAACAGCTTCTGAGAGCAGTAGGAGGGGCTTGCATTGGTATTTTGCTTGACAAGCTCCAATGGGGTTGGGATGGGAGCTTGGGGCCCCCTGCCCCCTTGGTGCCCTCTTTGTGAAAGGCAGAAAGGGGTTTGCAGGCAGAGGTAAATTTCCTGTTGAGCGAGGAAGTGGTACAGTGTCGTCATTCAAAGCATCCTTCCTATAGAGTAAGATGGTTCTACCTGAAATCTGCAGAGCTGGAAGGCAATAACCCGTCCCCAGCAAGTTAAATTGTCAGCTTGCATTCTCTTGCTGTACTACCATTCTCCCCTCACATGGACCCAAGAGTCTCTCTCTCTCTCTCTCTCTCTCTCTCTCTCGTGTCCTGATGACTCTCCATTCTTTCATTCTCTCCATGGTCTCAAACTGTCCTTCGAAGGTCCCTTATGTTGCCTTACTCAAGGCACCCTTTCATGTTCCTTAAGATTAGATTACTGAATCTCTTCCG